AAGAAAGGTACAAGAAAGAAATAACGCAATCAAGCAATGTCCCGGAGGTCGACTCACACCTGCTACAGCTTTGGGAAGCAAGAAGAAGCCTTACGAAAAGACTGAAAAGACAGAATTGTAACCATCAATTGAAAGAAAGAATCAAAGATATCACCCAGCACGCCGATGAATACGGCAATCAACTAGCTGCAACTAATTTGGCCGATTTCTGTGATTCACTCAATGGAACGCTCAGTACGGCCAAAACATGGAACATACTGAAAGCCGTAATAGACCCCACGAAGACAAAGAGAGAAAACAGTAAAACCGTTGAAAGATTGCTGCTTTATACCCTGGTACAAAAGAGGTCCTCATTCAAGCCATGCATAAAAAATGCTTTGGGGAAGACGGAGCGACGCCTTCATATCAAGGAAGGTATAAAGGATCACGGCAACCTGATTTAGACAAGCCTTTTACGGACCCAGAGATAAGAGCAGCCATAGTTAGTAGCAAGAAGAACCCAGCCGCGGGTGCAGATAAAATCATTATTGGTATGATCAGGAACCTAATTGACGAAGCCATTGAAGCCCTCACAAAATACACACACAAACATTGGCTCGCTGAAACTGTTTCACCAGAATGGAAACATACGATTGTGACCATGGTGCCTAAACTAAGAAAAAAACTTGCCATTGAGAACATGAGACCTATCCCGCTCACGTCCTGCTTAGGAAAAATCTTTGAAAAGCTGGTGAACACCAGGCTCCTCAACCATCTCGAGAACAGCACCCTCATGCCCGAAACCATGTTGTGCTTTTGCCCACACCTTTCAACGCAAGCTCTTCTTCTACTTTTAAAAGAACAAGTAATAATGGACCTCTCTAAGGTTGGGGAAAACGTTGTTATGGCAGTTGACATGAAGGGAGCCTTTGATAACACCAGTCACAAAGCAATACTAGAATGTCTGGAGAAAGCTAATTGTGGAGAACGAATGTTCGACTACGTCAAAAGTTTTCTTAGTCACAGGACTGCATCAATAAAGCTGGGAGATTACGAATCCGCCATCATTCGGCCTCCAAACAAAGGAACACCCCAAGGAGTGGTCGTTTCACCGACACTTTTCAACGTCACCTTGACAGGCCTTGCAGGAAAACTCAAAGATATTGCCGGTCTATAACATGCGATATATGCAGACGATATCACGGTATGTGTAACCACAGCCAGCCTAGCAGAGGAAGAAGATAAGTTACAACAGGCACCTAGCACCATAGAAGAGTACGCAACGATACGGGGTCTTCAGTGCTCAGCCGGAAAGTCAGAGCTCATTCGCTTCACGAAGGCCAAAGCACGGAGGATCAACGTGAATGAAAAGCTGGAAGTCGAGATCTACAGAAATATGATTCCGGAGAAATGTACCATACGAATACTAGGAATGTGGCTTCAAGCTAATCGGAGATGTCTGCATACACTTATTCAACACAAAACATCTGTACAGCAGATCTCACGCATAATCTCGCGAATAACAAACTATCGTAAAGGCATGAGAGAACAAGATACACTAAAATTGCTCAAAAGCCTCGTCATGAGCCGTATTACACACTCGCTTCCGTATCAAATTATGAACAGGGAAGAGAAAAGAAAGCAAACCAAATAATCAGAATGGCCTACAAGACACCCCTAAAATTACCGCGCAATACTTTAAACGACAAGCTACTGGCGCTTGGTCTTCATAACACAATTGAAGAATTACCCGAGGCCAAGCTACTTGCGTGAGAAAATCGCCTTATCCAGATTTCAACGGGCAAAGCCGTCCTAACAAAACTAGAACGTGATACAGTATTACAAAAATACCAAGAAACTAAAGAAGTACCAAGCGAACTTAGAGAATGGTACACCATATTGCCAATACCAAGCAACATGGATCCTACTCTGCATGCTGGGAGAGAGAAGGCAAGGGCTGACTACATTGACACAATGACAAGATTTTTGAACACGGCCAGCTTCACTGATGGCGCGCCTTATTAGACCAATGCAAATATATCTGTGTGTTTAGTCATTGACCACAGATAGAAAATTACTGCCTGTGCTTCCATAGATCAGGCTTCGACAACACAAGCAGAAAAGCAGAAGAGGTTGCCATAGCACTCACAATAAAAGAGGGACGGACACGTAACGCTCCATTAACAATCATAACAGATTCGAAAAAGCTTGCAGAAACTATCTAAAGGGCAAAATTGGAGCACAGGCGCTCCGTATATTGGTTGGGGCAGGATGAGACCCCACAGTAAGATACTTACAGACTGTGACTTGGGCACCGGGGCACAAGGGCGTTACCGCAAACCTGCACGCGGACGAGGCGGCTCGAGGCTTCACAAATCACCGAGCCACTCAAGACAATGCAATTGATGGCCCTACACCCCTGGACCCTTGTTTCACAACGATTCTAAAGTACTACAAAGGAAATAGGCAGCTGTATCCACGTCCTCATACCAAGCTCAGCGCTGCGGAGGCAACCGCGCTAAGAAGAATACAGACTGACACTTACATAACTCTGCACACTCTTTAGCTGGTCTACCCCACGGCGTACAGAGATATATGCCCGTGGTGTGGAGCCACCCCAACACTCTTTCACACAACGAGGGAGTGCACAGAGCACGATGAAGAACATGACTCCAATGGCACATGGGAGGAATGGGAGGCGCTGCTGTCTAGCCCAGCCCTGGTGGATCAGCAGTGACTGAGCCACAGAGCTGAACGGATGGCTCGTGCCAGTGGGGCCCTGGAATACGGGCACCACCCTGCCGGACAGACTTCGCTCTTCACCCTCTATATTTACCGGGGCACTGGAGTTCTAGCCTGTCTGAATTATGTACATAATAAAGTTTTCTACTACTACTACTGTTGACAGATGCCCACACGGTCAGCCACACAAAACGCTGGCGTTTCACACCAATGGTTGAACGATGCCCATGCATACACACAAACACACACACGCATGCACGTGACGAACAAAAAGGATTGTTAAATGTCCCATAGGGAGTTTGTAACCACGTGACCTGAAAGTTCGTAGGGAGTTTAACAAGGTCAAGTCATTCCTAAACTTTGTCAATAAGCAGGGGGTGTTTTACGACAACACGTGCTGAGTTAACTCCGTAGCAGGAAGTAAATAATTGGGGCAGGGGAGTTCGGGGAGCTTATTTACTGGAGAATCTTCCATGTTGGTTTGCTTTTGCTTACAGTGCAGCAAGAGCAAGCTTAGATCGAAGCGTACAGTCGCTGCCATGTTCATTTGAAAACACAGTTACCGAAAGTAACTGACACAAACAATGTGATGCGTAGAAAATAATTGCGAATAAGAATTGTTTCACGTAACCATGTGGCTAACACACACTGAACAAACACCAATTTTAGCTTACCCTGTTTTTTAAGGTGCTTACTGAATCTGGAACCTTGTTTCGCTGCGCAAGCCTGTTGTTTTCCAGCTCCTACTGCAGCTTTGGTAGTGCTGAGCCACAGTGGTGAAAAGAGTAAGAACAGGAAATGTAGAAAACGTTGGGTGGTAAAGAGCTTCCTGATCAATCTTACAACACCAGTATGATCTAAAAATTACACAGTTATGCATAATCCTGTCTCTTTTGAAGTAACATTGCACCTTGCATAACCAAATGTGTGAACGTGCAGATAAACCTTGCTGGCAAACGGCACTCTCATACCCAATATGTGTTTTGAATGACCAATTATTAATTCATAATATTTAAAAGGTCCCACATGGGACCTTACATGAGTGGTTGGCGAGCAGAAAAAACTGAAGGGTCAGGTTATATGTTATGACTTGAAAGATGGTCTTCCACGGAAGCTTTGAATTGAGCAATGTCAGTGATGAGGGCGATATGTAATGACGGCATTCCATTCTCCGGCAGTGTGCAGAAAAAAATGAATGTTGATGGGTGGTCGTGTGTGCAAGTCGCTGATACACAGCTTTTTGGTGAGAGTGACGAGAGGAACGATGTGCCGGAATAACTTGGTTTCCTGGAGGCAGTGAATGAAATAACCTAAAAAAATAAGATTAGGTGAGCAGCCTAGCAGCAAGAAGAAAGTGAGGGGATGCATAGCTAGAATTTGAGGGTTGATACACTTGTCTTCTAGGAGTAATCAGAGAGAATAAACCTCGCAGCATGGCTTTGGAACAATTCAAGAGAACTAGCTATGTTAACTTGGTGGTAGTCATAGATAGTAAAGTCATATTTTAGTTTTTATCGTTACAACGTTTTATATTCAAGCATTTCGACTGTAGGGCATGCTGATAGCACGTTATGGCGTAGATAACGTAACAAGCGATTGCTGGAATCGGTTAGTTGGAGTATATGATGGGTCAAGGACAAATTGCTAGATATATGTACTCCTCGGTATTCAAGTGTCTGGCATTGAGTCAAGGTGTTGTTGTTGAGGGAGTGCGAAGATGCGACATAGTTACGGCGGCGATGAAAAGATACGTGACAGAACCTTACTTACGTTGAGAGACATGTGCCATCGGCTGCATCGTGTTTGGAATTTTAGGAGAGCATGCTGGAGAGAGGACGAGTCTATGGAGTTCGTTATTCGACGATACTGAACACAGCCATCCACAAAAAGGGTTATATTTGATGATACATTATCTGGAGGGTCATTATTATATATACGAAAGACTAGCGGTCCAAGTACGGAGCCTTACGGCACACAAGATAAAACAGGGAATAGAGAGGCGGAAGATGAGCTGGCGGAAAGAAATTGAAGGCGATCGGTTGAAAATTCACCTATCCAGTTGAATGTGTTGGGGTGTAGGTGTAGGTTCGAGACTTTATGCATGAGAAGAATGTGCGATGCTTCATCGAATGCTTTTTTCAAAGTCCAGATTGCTTACACATACCGCGAGTATATGTAAGCAATCTTTCCTGCATGAGCTACCATCTTTCCATGTTACTCTCCTTTGTCTGAGCAATTGCATGTTGAACAACTTATATGTGACATAAATGATTTCTTTGCAGGTGTTGCACCAGCAGCAGGACCACCACGTCCAGCACCTTTCCCTGGGCCACCTCTTTCTTTAATGCGAGGCCAAAGGCCGCCGGGTGAGTTTTTCTAGGTCATAAGAGGTTTGCCTGCTTTTCGAGAAGAACAATCAAAGTTGAGAAGGTCATGTTAAAAAGTTTCATCATCCAACAACACAGGTATGAGCTATGTCAGACACAGCTAGTCATAATCTCGTCCTGTTTCAATGCACTTTGAACTGTGCATAAATAAATGTGTGACCGGCAAATAAGTATTTCTGGCAAGGGACACTCTCATGGCCAATATCTGGTCCGAACAACCACTAGTAGTTGTAAGCAGTCATTGCATATTAGCAACCTCCCTGTCTCGGTACTTTTGCTTTTGAATTAGCAGTTTTGTGATGAACACCTGGTACAATGTATCGGAAAAATTCTTGTCATGCAGTAGTTCAACCAGCACCGGGACCACTACGTCTAGCACCTTCCCTTGATCTACCACCCGCTTTCATGGGGAGCCCAAGACTGCGGGGTGACTTTTTCGGCTAGTCAGATATCTATTTGCTGCTGAGGAGAACAGCGCAAAAAAACTGGAATAAAAAAGAATGAACGCATGACACAAGCGCTGCTGAACAACTGTGTACAAGTTTATTACAACTGGGAATATATCGCTGAAAGGGTTATACTCAAAAACATTATCTCATCTTCAAGGAGGGCGAGGGAAGGCTCACTGGTGCATATGTTCTCTTTGGTCTTGATGGGAAAAGCCTCTTTAGTTTCGCGCTCTGCCTTGTTACAATAACTTGAGAGTAGCTTGCATTCATAAAATAGTAGGGCGCAGCCGCACAAGGAGCAATGGGCTGCCGAGGTGCTACTTGTTAAAGTCCAGAGATTTTTTGCGCGCTTTCTCAGGTGGTCGTTCAAACAGCGACCGGTGTGTCCAGCATAGGACAGACCACAGGACAATTCAATGTCGTACATCACGTCGCTCACACACTCAAAATACTGCGTCCTGTGTTTCTTGATGCATCCATGCTTCTCGGAGTTGTCATCATTCACTTTCTTGCAAAGGCGGCCTATCTTACGAGGAGCGGAGAAAACAAGTCTTGCGCCTGCCTCGCCAACAATCTTCTTGAGCGCATGGCTGACACCACGTACATAAGGGATGAGAGAAGCTTTCTTTGTTTCCTGTGTTCGTCGTGTCCTGATGCCTTCTTTCGAAAGCTCGCTCAGTAAACATTTTGCCAAGGCACTGAGTAATTCAGTCGGGTAGCCAGCGCCTTTAGTGGGGTAGCCAGCGAGGGTAGTCAGCAGGGTCGACCTTGGCGCTAAAGGTTCTTTGCACTTGGTGAGAACAAGACTTCTTTAGAGCCCTCCTGTAAACACCTAAGGCAACTCCGCGTTTCCGAAACTTCGGATGCGCCAAATTGAACGAAGGAAGGCCCTTCTGAGGCCTCGGCGCATAGTACCAGCAAGCGTGCATTCAACCAACATACAGCACCAGGTCTAAAAATCTTTAGCAGTCGTCACTGGTGAGCACATTGGTTAATGTTGAAGTGTGGAGAATGGCCGCAAACACGCCAAATATTTCCTGCGATTCTTCATCTATTGAACTGTCAAGCCTGAAAAGTACCAGGAAATCATACAGCAATCTCAAATTTAGTACACTGTGGCTTCAAAGGGCGTCTTGCGGCTGCCTGTCGAGGCTAGCAAGAAGCAAAACGCTCAAAACGGGGGCAAGACAAGAACCTACAGAGAGGAGACAGGAGACAAGAGCCTTGTCTTGCCCCCGTTTTGAGCGATTTACTTCTGACTTGGCTTGGCAGGCAGCTGCAGGACACCCTTTCAGTCCACAGTGTACTAAAGGCCTTCAGATTTGTGGATGATTTTCTGGGGCTCCAACATAGCATTCAATCAATCAAGACCTCATGCATCATGTTGGTGGACTGCACACCTGCTGGGACCATGCGCCGAGGCCACGGAAACATCTTCGCCCATTCAATTTGGCACACACAAAGCTTGGGGAACGTGTAGTTGCCTTGTGTTCTCAGAAGAAAGTGCTCTGAAGAGGTCTTGCCCTCACCAAGTGGAAAGAACTTTTGGCACCCAGGTCGAGCGATTGAAACGCGCCGGCAACCCGACCGAATTAGTCAGTGTGTTAGCGACAATTCTACTGAGTGAACGTTTGAATTTTGACAACCGGACACACCCAGCACAGGAAACTAGAACATTTCTGTCATCTCTTACGTACACGCTGTGAGCCCAAAAAGATTGTTGGCAAGGCAGGCGTAAGACGTGTTTTCTCGGCTTATCCTAAGCTAGGCCGCCTTTGCAAGAAAGTGAATGATGACAACCCCATGGAGCATGCGTGCAGCAAGAAACACAGGACGCAGCACGCTGATTGTGTGATTAGCGTAGTGTACGAAATTCCATTGTCCTGTGGTCTAGACACACCAGTCACAGTTTGAACGACCGCCTAAGCGAGCACGCAAATATTCTCAGGACTTCAACAAGTAGCACCTCGGCAGCTCATTGCTCCTTGTGCGGCTGGGCCCGCTCTTTTATGAATGCAAGCTACTCTTGAGATATCGTAACAAAACAGAGCTTGAAATTAACGAGGCTTTTTCTATCAAGACCAATAGAAACATGTGCGTCGGTGAGCCTTCACTCGCCCTCCCAGAAAAAGAGATAGAATTTTTGAGTAGCTCGCTTGTACATTTCTACACGTGGCAGATTACTTTTTGCCTTTCACTCTAATTGTGCACGTGATGATTTTTTGTTCCTCTTTACTTCTTTCAGCTATATAATTCTAGGTGTAATAAACGTATGCACAGTTGTTCGTCAGCGCTTTTGTCATGTGTTCAATCTTTCTCCGTCCTGTTTTTTGCACTATTCTCTTCGGTATCATGTACCAAGTGGCCCTTCAAGAAACCCATGTACTTGTTCATTAGGGGCAAATATAATGTTGAGAGTGTCGTGACAAAGTGCTTCATGATCAGTATAATAAAATAGGTCTGAGCTATGGATGATACATCTATGCATCTCTTGTCGTGTTTTAGTAAAGGTTGTTCTGTGTCCAAATAAATAAGACCTGCGACTAAATTTGGCTGTTAAGTGACACTCTCATAATATATAGGTGTCTAGAGCAGCCACTTGTATTTGTAATAAGTTTTGCTGATTAGCTACCTTCTTTTCATGAAACTTCGCCTTTTGTAATAGTAGTTTCGTGCTCAACACCTGTGACAATGTATCTGAGGAATCATTGTCATGCAGATCTTTCACCAGCACCGGATTTACCATCTCAAGCCCCTTCACTTGGTCCACCTCCAGCTATCATTGGGGTCCTAAGACCACCGGGTGAGTTTTCCAGGTCTTCATATGCCTGCATGTTTATTAGAAGAACATGCACAGTTCAGAGTGTCATGTTAAAATGCTTCATGATCAATCTAACAGAACAGGTATGAGCTATGCATGATAAAGCTAATTGTACTGTTTCAATAACGATTGCACATTGCCCAAATAGCTGTGTGACCGGCAGTTAAATCTTCCTGGCAAGCGACACAATCATAATCAATAGGTGTTTCGAACAACAATTAGTGCATATAGCAGTTTTGCTCGTTGGCTACCTTCTTGCCAAGGTACTTCACTTTTCACAATAGTAGTTTCGTATTCAGCAGCTGTGACAATATATATGACAAATCAATGTCGTCCAGCTTTCGTACCGGTACCGGGACTACCACCTCAAGCACCTCAACTTGTTCCACCTCCTTCTGTGAAGGGGGGCGCCTTTCATCAACATTAAACTGTGCACAAATAAATATGTGGCCTGTGGCTAAATCCTCTTGGCAAACGACTCCGTCCCGCCCAATATGTGTTCTGAGTAACCACTAATATTTCTAAGCAGTCTTTGTTAATGATATATCTTTTTTCCTTGCTAATTTCCTTTTAGAGAAGCAGTTTTGTATTGAAAACCTTACACCTGACAAATCATTGTGGTCAAGGTGTTGCACAAGACCCAAAACCACCACGTCTAGCACCTCCACCTGGCCCACTTCCTGCTGTCATGGGGCGCCTAACACCACCGGGCGAGTTTTTCCGGGTCTTAAGATGTCTCCTTTTTCACCTACGTAGCACGCAGTGTTGAGAAGGTCATGTTAAAAACTTTCATCATCTACTTAACAACACTGGTGTGAGCTATGCCTGAGGCGGGTATTAATATTTTTGTCCTGGTCTAATAAAGACTTCACTGTGCATAAATAATTGTGCTTGACACCGCTATTCATCATGGTGTCCTGGTTCAGTATGCTTCGCGCTGTGCATAAATGAATGTGTGACCTTCAGCTAAATCTTTTTGGCAAGCGACACTCTCATGGCCAATAGGTTTTCCGGACAACCACTAGTATTTGAATGCAGTCTTTGTTGAGCTGCCTTTTTGCTATGCCACGTTTCCTTTTGCATTAGCAACTTGGTGTTCAACACCTTATACTAGCCTTAATCTTTGTTACGCAGGTGTTCAACCACCACCGGCAATACCACGTCCAGCACTTCCACCTGGCCCACTTACTGATGTCATGGAAGGCCCAAGAGTTCCGGGTGACTTTTTCGGCTTATAAGATATAAACTTGCCTAATAGAACAACCTGCGAAGTTGAGAGTGTCGTGTAGAACTGCTTTCTGATCAATCTGACTAAACAGGTATGAGCTATGCAAGATACAACTTTGCATAATCTTGTCTTTTTAAATGAATCTTGCACTGTGCACACTAAATTTGTAACCTACTGCGAAATCTTCCTGGAAAATGAAACTCCCATGCCAAGTATGTGTTTCGACCAAGCCCTAGTCTTTTTATCAGTTTTGCTGATTATATAAATTCTTGACATATTACTACGCCTTTTGCAATAATAGTTTCGTGTTCAACACTTGTGACAATGTATCAGACAAATAATTGTCATGCAGGTATTCCACTAGCACCGGGACTACCGCGTCGAGCTTTTCAGCTTGGTCCACCTCCAGCTGCCATGGGGGGCGGAAGACTGCAGGGTGAGTTTTCTGGCTCGCTGGTTATCTACTTGCTCACTAGAAGAACTTGAAACGTTGCAAAGGTGCTGGTAAAAAGCGTCATCATCATACATGACTTACAGATATAGGCTATTCATGATACAGCTACGCATACTATTGTCCTGCTTCGCTAAAAATTGCACCACGAACCAATAGATCTGTGACCTGCAGCAAGATCTTCCTGGCAGGCTACACTGTCACGCCCAATATGTGTTTAGAGTAACCAATATTATTTCTAAGCAGTGTTTGTTGATCAGACACCTCCTTCCCATGGCACGCTCTTTTTCTATTAGCAGTTTCATGTGGAAAACTTTATATTTGACATAAATCATTGTCAAACAGGTGTTGCTCAAGTACCGGGACCACCACGCCCATCACCTACACCTGGCCCACCTCTTGCTGTCATGGGGGGCCCAAAACCACCGGGTGAGTTTTTGCAGGTCGTCAAATGTCTGCTTGCCAACATAGAAGAACAGGCAAAGTTGCGAAGTTCTTGTGTAAAAAGCTTGATCATCCATCTAACGGCACAGGTGTGAGCTACGCCAACACAGCTATTCATATTCTTGTCCCGTTTGAATACGCTTTGCACTGTTTAAAAATAAGTGTGTAACCTGCAGCTAAGTTTCTGACAAGTGCAATCTCGTGCCGAATATGTGTTGAAAGTAACCATTATTACTTGTAAGCAGTCTCTGCTGATGAGCTATCTTTCTTGCGTTTTGTGTTGGAAGCTTTGTGTTCAGCACGTGTGACAATTTATCTGATAAATCAATTTCATAGAGGTTTTTCACGAGCGCCAGCAACACCACGTCTGGCACCTCTACCAGTCCTACCTCCAGCTGCCATGGGGGGAGGAGGGGTCCGAGAGTGCTGGGTAAATTTTTAAGCTCGCCAGATGTCTACTTGTTCACATTGAAGAACATGCGAAGTTGAGAAGGTCGTGAACTCCATGACCAACCTAACAACAGAGGTATCAGCTATGCATGACCCATCTATGCAGAGTCTTGTTCTGTTTCAATGAGTATTGGACTGTGCCTAAATAAATGTGTGACCTGCCGGTGAATTTATCTGGCAAGGGACATCCTCGCGCCCAATGTGTGTTTCGAGAAACCACTAGTACATGTAAGCAGTGTTTGCTAATCAGCTACATGCTTGCCATGCTGCTTGCGATAGTAGTTTCTTGTTGAAAACCTTGTATCTGAAAAAATATATTCATGCTGGTGTTCCACCAGCACCGAAATCACGACGTCCAGCACCTCCACCTGGCCCACGTCCAGCGGTCATTGGACTTCCAAGATGGCCGGGTGAGTTTTCGCCTCGTCAGGCATATAATGGCTCACTTATAAGAGCACGTAATGTTGAGAAGGTCGTGTTAAAAAGCTTTCTGATCAATCTAACAACACATGTATGAGCTATGAATGACACCGCTCTGCCTATTCTTGTTGTGTTTCAATAGACATTGCACTGTGCATAAATAAATCTGAGACGTGCATCTAGATCTTCCTGGCAAGCGCGACATTCGCGCACTATATATGTTTCCAGTGAGCACCAGTATGGGTAAGCAGTCTTTGATTATGAGCTTCAATTTGACCATGCTAGTGTCTCCTTACATGTAGAATTTCTTACCATTTGTATGTTCTTTGCCTCCCCGTCTTCATCCCTAAATGCGCTGAACCACGCCGCCGCAGTGGGTAGTAGATCATAGGAACCTTTTAATCTCTTCTTTTTCACAATGACTCTTTCTTTCTCTGTCTACCAGGCGCTATAACTTATCGTCCCTTCAAAAAGGACAACAAATTATAAGAAATGCTTTCAAATGATAATAAAAAAGGTTGTACACCGCAAGTTAAAGTGCTAAGCTTGTTCTCTCCCACTCTTGTCAAAATTTCTGAAATTTATAGCCAAATACCGACGGCCTGATATTATTTGTTTTTCAGACGGCAATGTATCTCAGCGTACGTTGAGGGGCTGTGTGCGCTAGCATGCTTAGCGTCGCTTCATAATGAAGGCTGTTACAGTATACGTTATTCGTCTCTACGAAGATTGTCCTTGTATCATAATTTCTATTTGAAGCTCAAAGATAACGTTTCAGAGTGAAAAATGCCTTTTTATTGTAGTGTTCATGAGCATGTTGTATGTTTCTGTGTGCAGAATAGCCATTTTATGTTTTGTTTTGACAGAACGTAAGAAATTGAAAATAACGAAAATATACGTAACGAAGTAGTAAAAAACGAAGTACATAAAAACAGTTTATGCTGGAGATGCAGCAATAGCAGAACCACCACGCGCAGAACTTGCACCTGGCCTTCCGCCACTGCAAGCGGTGCGCACTGAGCACCGCATGAAAAAAAAGTGAAAGACTATGGCAAGGTTTTTTTTTTATTGCAGATACGCCTTAGAAGCCGAACCTACAGAGAGATGACGCAGTGGCAGTTCGGACATACACTGGCATTTTTGTAAACAACACACAGCTATTTTCTTTCACAGTTATGAAAAAAAAATGATTGACCCCTCGGTTTCAGGAATCGGTATAAAGAGAAGGTGAATCGTATCTCTTGACTTCTTGAGATGTGTAGTTGAGAAACGTATCTTGAGACACATAAGAGAATACACAACGTAAATGAGTGTTTTGCCGCTATTGGCCTCTAGATCATGTAATGGCGCTCTGACGTCACAACTGGGACTACGCTGTGCTGCAGAAGCCACTGCTCGTGTACGTGGATATTTTGCTTCAAACAGGAACTTTGTAGGATGAAGAGTCTCGCTATGGTAAAGTGATCACAGCAACGAGTGTTTTCGAATGCATTTATGAAGCCTCGCGCTACATAAATTTCTTTCAAATATTTCACCAACAAGCCCACATCACCATTCTTGTGCATTTATGAAGTTGTATGATGGATATAGCAGAAGTCACTTTCAGCGAAGTGCTTGCTGTACATGGTGGATGCGTGGACCGCTTTCTTATTCTGATCGCCACTATCGACCTCAGCTTCGGGTCGTTAAGATAGTTGTGAACGTTAACGCCTACTTCATGGGTGGGTAATCGTGCAGAGGCATAGAGCTGTACTTAGCCATTGCATAGCACTCGCCTCGGAGACCAGCGGCAGCAGTTTTTGGTAACAAAGCGCTGTGCTTTTAACAGGAGCACTCAAAGTTTACGCCCGTAGTTCTTTGAATAGTCTCGCTAGCCAGAACACAGAAGATAACTAATTGAGCTGTTTCTTTGTGGAGTTCCACCACTATGATGGATGCTATACAGCGCCGGGACTAGAAAACACGTGAATGCCCGCTGTGACAGCACCGCTATCAGTCGCACATCAGGCCAAGCGGCGTCGATACACCAGCGTTGTATCCTGTTAGGTTTGCCACTCGAGAAACCACATCGTGTGCTGGCAACACTAGTAAAAAAACAAAGATGGTTGCGCCTAACGGGGTCGACACGTCACTTTCACTGTGGTTTCACTTTGCGCTGTTTTGACGTTTCTTGATTGTGGCTTCGCGTCAAGGTGCTTCGTCGAAGGCGAAATGGTGCTGGACGTGGACCACGTGATATATCGGTATGAACGATCTTACCAGCCAAAGAGCACAAATTGTGTCTCCGTGCGTGCAAGCCTATTCGGCTTGCACGCACGGAGACAATTTGTACTCGTCGAGCCTATTCATTGCACGTCGAGCCTATTCGGCGAATCACACCACATTTACTTCAAGCTGAACAACCAGTCAGCGAGCCCGAGATTGAAGACAGCTTCTGATGTGGAGCGGGCCTCTCCCGAAGGGGCTAGTAGTTTTGTGCTGCTACAGAGGAGGTCTTAACAATTTTTGAGGTAACTATACGCTGCGACTCGTGCTGCTTGTCACATGTATCCCATTGAGTTTCCTTGTCCAGTCATAAGCTAATTACGCATCGTTCACTCTATTATGGAACAGAGGTATGCTTGGGCCAGTGTATCTTCAGATAAGGCAAATCGTACGTTTTATCGTGCTCCTTTCATTCGCCGATCTATGTTATTAGGTTACTAATGAATGGGGTCGTGCGAATCCGAACACTCGCTTCTTCGTGTTGGCAGTAGATGCTATTCAAAGCAGGTAATTTACATGCACACTACGAAAGTTGCGACTGTACGGACATCCTGCATACACGCATGAACATACACGCATGCTATACGTACGCGTGACCGCGCGCGTGTTCGAATGCGTATAGATATGTGGCATAGCCAGGGGGGTTGAGGGGGAGGGTGCGTTTAATTTTTTCCTCAAAAATGTTTGTGCAACAGCTTACTCACCCTTTTTTCATCACTTCGCGCTGACAAAATTTATAAACTAAGTGGAGCTGCTATAACATTATTGTTCCAGTGCACTTTTACAATGAATAATGTCTGCATGCGAAAAAACGTGTGTCGGTGTTTGTCAAGGCGTTGGCACTCTGTCAGATTTTGGGAAGGAATGTCAGACGCGAGCGTTTGGAGTTGACTCGGTGACGGGATTTATGCAGCAGCAGTGGTCATACTTGTACCCACCGGGACAGATCTTGCCGGAGTC